CTATATGTTCGTGATACTGTGGCTCTCACTCCTAAACCTTTTGGACTAGTCCGGTCTCTCAGGCCCCAAATGCCTATGGGTCTCAAACCAAGGATTATCTTGCTTTCAACATTGATTAAAGTTCTCATTGACATAAGAAACAGCCTCATGACACTGGCCTCCGTCTGGCTCATTACCTTTATGCTTGCTCCCCTGCAAAGTTGCAATTTCAGGTCTCTGATTGACTTTTGCCTCTCGGCTCCACCATCATGAATCTCAGCTCACAATTACGTTCCCCTCTCTTTTGGTCCATATCGCATCGGTTCAGTGAAGGTGTAGGTATCCCTGGCGTCAGCGCAACATACTAGGCTTCCTTTGATTCCATTTGCTACTGTGGTACTCAGTTTTAAACCTCTTCGACTAGTCCGGCCTCTCAGTCCCCAAATGCCCATAGGCATCAAACCAAGGCCTCTCTTCTTTTGAGAATCGGCTGCCACCGATTAATGTTCTCATTGGTATAATTAGCTGCCTTGTGTGCTCGCCTCCGTTTGATACATTATCTGCATGCTTGGTCGTTCTACGGAAATTGCAATCTCAGGTTCCTGGTTGAGGTCTGCCTCTCCGCTCCATTCTCATGCTTCTCAGCACACAATTACGTCCCTCTCTCTTGTTTTGCCTCTCTTTTGCTCTATATCGCAATAGTTCAATGGCGGTATAGTTATCACTAGCGTCAGCACAACATCCCAGTTCTCTTTGGTTACCTTTCCTTCTGTGCGTCTTAATCGAAAACATTTGGGCTCCAAATGCCTATAGGTCTCAAGCCAAGGCCTCTCTTATTTTGAGCACCGGCTGCCATCGACTGAAGTTCTCATTGGTATAAGTTACAACCTTATGATACCCTTCTTCGTCTTAATCATTATCTCTATGCTTGGTAACGCCTACCGAAATCCGAATTTCCGGTCTCTGATTGAGTTTGGCTCTCGGCTCCACTATCATGTATCTCAGCTCACATTAACGTCTTCCTCTCTTGTTTGGCGTCTCTCTTCGTTCATATCGCAAATATTCATTGGCGGTATAGGTACTACTAGCTTCAGCTCATCGGTCACTCCATGGATTTCAGCCAGCATAACTTTACCATAAATTTTATATTTATACAATAACATAGTCCTGTTCAATTTTGTTGGCAGTTTGCTCGGTCCGTTTTTCTTCTCACCCTTGTTCTACAGGATAACATTACCTGCACCGAACACTGCTGAAGACGTACCTGCGACGCTCCCATGGGCACGGATCCAATAAAGAACAAAGAAAAAACCCGCATTTCATAATCATGGCACACTAAAGAACCTAGGAATCTGATCAATTCAATACAAGTCACCTGAATCGTCCGACTTCAACAGCTCCAACCACTTGTACTGGACTCCGAAGGCGACTACACAGCCATAGGAAACAAATTGGCGTTACGTGACTGCGAATATCCGCGAGGATAATCGGTCAGATACAATCTTGCCAATGTTATATCAACAGCCGGCAGTGTTCCAGGACGTGGTGGGTCTTCGTCTGGCAAGCGTTTTCCCTACAAAAAGCCACAAATGTCTGTTTAACAACACTGCGACGTGGCGGATGTGACTCGCCACTCCATAAAGTCACCGCCCCTAACACATTGGCAAGTTGACCGTCGCCACATTTACAAGTTCTGTGTATATATCGGCTCTCGCACGAACACGCCTTCATATCTGATTAGTGACATACCACTATTCTTAAGTATTTTTCACCCGTTTCCTCATACTTCACTCACTGACTTACATTGCTTTCGGGACCTCATCGGACTAGTTCCTCATCAACATACCATATAAGTGATCTGATTAATATCTTTACCTCTCACATTCTGTGTACATAGACTACATACAACATTTGGGCTCTATGGGCCCACACTACTGTCTCCAACTGCACTACTCCCACTGTTGGTGCTGCTTATTCCGCTATCATGTACAATAATGCAATATGCTGATCATGCCCAAAAGGCGTGTCTCGCTTTGTCGAGAATAAAATATATATATATTTATTTATTTATACCGCTTTCCAGTAACATTCGAGCGTTTTTAGGCACGCACACAAACTGAATATATCGGTACGGGCATCCTTCCAGTAGCATCTGTCCAGTCTCCCTTTGGTAAGCTTCCGCAGTTTTAACACTCCGCCGAATGAACGATGTCGCCGTCTCAACCTGAAAACCTTTCAGATCCTCCTTGATCGATGAAAAGTCCAGATATGGACCCTTGAAGATACGTAGGAATACACAAGCGTCAACCACCATGGCTGCTTTCGCTAGAAGCGAGAAAATGATTAACCAACGTAACGCATTTAAACTGTTTCGTATATTGATTTATAATTAATCTCTTAGCATATAAACAACGACGTCAGAGTAATAATAAACCTACACATGCGTCCGAACGCCCAAAATTATCATTCCTCAAAAACCAACCTTGTGAACCAAAAGCATACTGTGAAAGTATCATTGATCGCAATTGGTGGACCCGACGCTCCGGAAGAGTCCTGCTTATAATATGTGGATTTTTATATCACTTTATTTGTTTATATCTTAATCTATGGATCACCAGAGTATGCTCAAAGAACACATGATGAAGAAGCCGTGTAAAGAAATCCCTAAGTATCCTTCAGTCGTACCCACATTGTATATGATTGTAACATACCGAGCAGACATGGTAACGGATTTAACCACTTAATAACTCTTTCACTGCTGCGATAAACTCCGTTTCTATTTTTGTACGCTTTTTCGGACGTGTATGCTAGTTACATATCCTGTAAGGCAAGCAGAATTTTGTTTTATCCGTTAAAAGGATTGTTACGATCGCGAAATGTGTCTTCTACTCCCGCAGGTACCGATGGTTCGAACAAAGCTTGAATAACGAATATGAAAATTCCAATTGGGACTCGACTGGACTCGTTACACTTTTGTTTAATTTAGCTGCATTGTCTCTTTTTACACTGCAGCGCCATCCCTATAAACTCTTTCGCTCCCGCTCGCTCGTTCTGCTTTCGGCTCAGCGGAGAGTCGTGGTTGCTTGACCATGCCGTGGTATCGGTGGTGTAAACGCGATTACTAACCCATTGGAGTTACCGCTGTGGGTTGGCTGGGTGAGTCAGTTCAGCTCGCCTCGTCCGCCTGTGTCTCGAACTAGCTCTGCAGTAATTATTAACCTCGCTGTGACTTGCACTTCGCTCGTTCCCACTGTGTTCGAGCTTGACACACTGGGTTTTACTACTCTATGTGTGCTAACAGTTGGAATCCTGTATTCCTTCCTTTCAGCACGTCGATTCTACTGCCGCTCCCACTAGGACCATTGTGGTGCGTCCACCACAACGATTTTCACTTTATTATGCAATTAATTTTCGCAATAATTTCCATCCCACGGGACTCGTTAAGCGATGCTTTTTTACCCGTAATAAACCATTGTTCCATTGTACGTTACAGCCGCGTCCAAATGCATCGGTCACCATTTAGTTGTTTCTATACGTCAACGAGAACTTCCTTGCATCTGATTTACACCTACTTGCTTCTGCACTTCTGCAACACACCCACTTACACCTTTACTCACTCGTTATGCAAATTACTGTTTTGTCATAACCCTCGCTTGTTGTAAGTATCTAAAGCATGGGTGGAAAATAATTGCTTGTGTATTAGTTAAAAGTGTATAACGAACATGCAAACAAATATATTTCTATATTTCAAAACATTGGTTTTCCTCATTATTGGTGCTCACTCGCTGGCGAATTTGTTAACTGCTTGTGAGTCCGCAAGCACTTTTGCCGTCGTAAATCCCATACCGCACGTTGCCCGCCATTGCTAATTCACTTTCCATTTCTTTTAGCCCATCCAATATAAGTAAGGTCCAGGTTCACCTTTTCCAATACTCTCCCGCATTCGGTACATTTCTTACGCACAGTGTGTGGGGAAATGACCATATTTCCCAAGAATTACACTAGAATCTGACAAAACCATTTACCTCTTGCTATTTACCATATTTTACTTTCCAAAAGGTGCGCCCTATCAGTTTCCGCTTCAAGCGAGCATTATGGTTAACTGCTTTGACAAAGCCGTTGAAGGATCCAAACCAATCATGCGTTTACATCACATCCTAATCTGTCTCGTTTTGGCGTGTGAATAGATCTCGTGCCTGAGGTCTTATCTTCACCTTCTGAGGTTAGGGCCATAGACTGGTACCGGATTTGTGTTGCATTTATGATTCTGTGCCGTGCTTTTATTGCGATTCTCTAGTTTTTCTTTCCGTGTTCGTTCCGATATGCTTTAGTGGTCGTAGGATGGCCATGGCTGGTTCACTCTCCATTCTTTGTAGCCCATTCAATATAGGTTAGGTGTAACTTCTCGTTTCCACTACTCTTCTGTAGTTGGCACATAGCTTACGTACATTGGCTACGGAGTAGTATACGGCGCTAACAAACAGGTGTATTGCTTTAGGTTCATCAACAACACGGAGCAAGTTGTCTATTCGTTGCGCAACAGCCAGTTCAAGCTGTGAGGGGCTCGAGTTAGTTGACTCCCTTTAGAATTGCCTAAAATTTAGTTGCATTTTGAGAACACGCAACTGCGTATAGGTGTTGTAGCGTCCTTCTTATAATTGTCATTTGTTTTGGTGAAGAATAGAGAGAAAATCAAACCCCGAACAACCACAGGAGTTGTTTTCCCTACCCGTGTAATAAATAAGCCGCTCGCTAATTTGCGCTGACCTTGAACCTAGAGTCTTCAGCGACCTGAGGTGAATGCGGAGCTTTAAATTATGCGGCAAAAAATGGGCTTCACTGTTAAAGTTGCAATCCTAATTACAGTCAAGAAATAGAAAGATGACTATAACTTGTGTCTAGATTTCTTGCAGGCACTATGCGGCTGTTCACAGTTGTTATCAATCCGAATATTTGTTTGCATAAGTCACCTTATTGAACTTGTTGTCATACTTACAAAGAGTGCACATATTTCAAATGTGATGTGTGACGGAAAGCGTTCACTGGAGGGGTTGCCGTTCCTTCCCGGTTATACTTTTCAAGATCCAACAGTGAGGCTCTGGCTGTTTATAATGAGTTACTCCCTGCAGCTAAGTAATTTTCATCTCAGCCATACACTGGGATACAAGAATGGTTTCCAAGTTCCTAAACCATATCCAGATGTTGGTATTGGTGGAAAACCTTTATACAGAAATCAATTAACTGAAGCTGAACTTAATGAATTAGCTAGTTTCCAACCATCATTGACGTATGGTAGAACAGTCCAAGCACCACCACAAAAGTTTGTGCCCGCTCATGTGGCACTCGACAAAATGGTGCTTAAATTCTTCGGATACTTTAAAGAAACAGTCACTGAGTCTCCACTGGAGCACTACCGTGTGCGATATGTTCATATATTTTATTTTTTGGAGGATGATAGTATGCAAATTACAGAGCCACCCGTTAACAACAGTGGAATTCCGCAGGGTAAGATTATTATTTTAAGTTCTACTTTATTTGAGACTGAAACAGCTGGATGCTCTAAATGCTGATTCTCCCGTTGCGTGTCGTTAAACCACTAAGCTGTAGGGTGATATAGCAATTATCCATACAAAATAAAGCCACACCACACCTTAACCAATCAGTTACTGTCCACATTTTGCTGCTAGGAATAATAAAGAAAGAGTGTATTATGAGCTCAAAAACAACACCAAGGCTATTGCGCGTCAGTCGCGTGCTATATATCCGATTCCCAGCTAAACGGCTAACAGAAAGCGAGTGTTAGAACACAGGAAAATATGCTAAAAAGGTCTTATTGAAATGGCACTGACGTAGGTTAATCTAAAAATGTGGCACCAGAAGAAAGCTAGCTTTGGATGATGTAAGTGGGTGTCGAATGCAAACCTGGGTAATCACGTTCGAGCGAACGTGGCGGATGCGTGTGTCTTACGCATAACTCAAACAAACCGGAGCAACAGGAAGAAAGCGGACTACCTAATTCCCTGAAACATGAGCAAGCTATCAATTTAGAATAATTTATAATAATTTACACAGACAAACGGGGTATCTTCAGGGCACTTCAATGTCAACTAAATGTTGCTAAAACGAAGGCATAAAGGAACAGAATATAACAGAAGGAAGTTGAAGACGAAAGTAGGCTAAAAGAACAGGAAGGATTGGTTTTGCTACACTAACACTCGAAACCCTCAACCGGCAAGCGCAGTTTGAGAAACTTCAGCGGGGGACCTCAAAGACAAGGAAAGTTTGCAACACTAAAGAGCCAGGACACGTCCGTAGCGCGCTTTTTTGTTACAAGGCAGCAATTGAGTATTCCGTCCCTTCTAAGTATCTGACATTGAAAACATTCCCAAATTTAGCAATCTTACGGGATATGTCTATTCCGTTTCGTATTGTTCCGCTCAAAAGATGATGGATTATCGTTCGTCGCCTCACTGCGGAACGGGAATCTCGGACTAGGGAAGAGTAGGCACGTTTCCGCCCAGGACGTGGCTGTATAGACCATACGTTCACTTTGCGGCAGGTGCTAGAGCAGCGCCACGCATACGGCAGGCCAACAATAGCTGTGTTCCTTAATTGCAAGAGTGCGTTCGATTCAGTCGATCGATCGATTCTGTTCGAAATACTTGCGCGGAAAGGTGTTTCCACGAAATATGTGAACCGTCTTCGTGCTTTATACTCGAAAACAATAAGCCGTGTCAGGGTCTACGGTGTCCTATCGGATAGCTTTCCGATCACAAGTAGCGTTCGTCAGGGTTGTCCGATTTCCCCATTTTTGTTCAATTTCGTCGTGGATTCTATCATGGAGTGTTCACTTGCGGAATCTCACGATACAGGCGCTAAAGTGCTGCCTGGTGAAAGGTTACTTGACCTAGATTATGCGGACTATATCGTCTTACTTTCCAACCATTTTGCGGTGGCACAATCAACCCTGAATAGCCTCTTTGTAGTGGTCCCATTATTTGGTATGCACTTTGTATCGTCAAAGTGCAAAGTGTTACTGCAGGACCACCAGCCACTTGATGACCCTTTGCCGCTTGCTAACGAGAAACTCGTGGTGGTTGATCATTTCACTTATCTTGGCAGCGGCATCAGCAATGATGGGCGCATAGAAACTGACGTCAGCTCACGCGTTGCAAAGGCCAGAGCTACCTTCTTGAACCTGCGGCATCTTTGGCGACAGAAGGGAGTTTCCCTCCGTCTGGGAAGCCGGGTATACAAGACCACAGTGAGGGCCGTTCTGCTCTATGGTAGTGAGACTTGGCCCCCTTCAGTCTGAAGAGCTGCGGCGCCTTCAAGTCTTTGACCATCGTTGTCTGCAAAGCATTGCTGATGTCGGATGGCACCAGCGTGTCCGCAACGATGATGTGTGTAGGCGAGTACTAGGTGGTGATAATCGTGCCTGCTTCTTAGAACAACAGATAGCACTGAATAAGTTGCGTTGGCTCAAGCACCTGCTACGTATGCTTTTTCACCGCTTACCTAAGAGGGCCTTGTTTAGTCTTCCAGGTGTAGGGTGGCGCAAGGCTCGGGGTGGACAGAAGTTGACTTGGCAGCGGGAAATGGAGTCACTGACGACCAAACTAGGTGCAGTTGATCCGTCTCGCCTTCCGGGCTGGGGTTCACGTGACCCGCCGTGTGCTTGGCTTGAGACTTTACAGAACATGGCTCGTAACTGACACCAGTGGCGCGTCTGCTGCCGTCTCCTAATTGGATTGCATGTTTGAAGTGTGTTTGGTGCTGAATTAACTGCGGGATAATGGCTGATTATGACGTGTGGTAGTGAAAGCCGCAAGGAAGCTGTCTCGCCGATGCCGCCTTAGCTTTGCACGATAGCCAGCTGTTTGTGACGGTATGTTGTCTACACAAGGTGTAGGCGTCTTGACCCCGAATGTTTGCTTAGGGCATTAAGGTTTTCAGGTTAGTCCCCATTCTCTCACTCTTCTTATACTTTATTTCATAGGTCATCATGTTTGTATGGCAGCGAAGCATCAGTTCAAATGTCTGATGTACTGCTGTTGATGATGATGATGTTGATGAGCAGCATGAATACAGTACTTCAAGTGGGGTCACACAAAAACCGAGATTATCTGTACAAACGTGTCAGACTCCAAAGGATCATGGAATTAACTACATCGTGCAGTACCTTCTACAATGGTCTCTGGAGTTATGGGTTACAATGTGAACGACACTTTGGTCAATCAGCTGAGTGAAAGTGGGGATTTCACTTTTATCACCAAGACATCTCGTGGGCGGACTATCTGCTCTGATGCAGAGAACAACACCCTTTCCCTGATCTATGGGCAACAACCATAGGTTTGATCTGTCCAAGAGCCTACACAAAACGCTCTAAATTGTCACAGTAGCCCCAGGGATATCCACAATATTCTAGAGCTCAAGGTCACGAGCAAACCGCAACGACGGTACCTCCAGCTTCTCAGACAAAGCGGTTGCATACAGTACGAATAGCAGTGGATCGGAAACTGATCCCGGAATAACGCTACCAAGAACAGCCTGCCTAAGCAAAGAATATACTCCACGCGTATACAATGTTCTCTCTCAAGCAGAAAAACAGAGGCCCATTTGTTGGTGCTACCAGATATCCCATAAAACTCCAACTTTAGTGCATGTCGTGAAAGAGTGAAAGTACCAAATGTTTTCAAGAACTCATTGAATAGCAAGTCTACAATATGGTCACCGTCCACTGCTTCAGTCAAGGTTTCGCGAAGTACAACCAAATTTATCAAGCTAAAACTCTCTTACGGAATCGGTATTGTGCTGCACTAAGGTTAAACTTCTTCAAATGTTTCTTCACGGAATCCTTCACCAGTTTCTAAATTATTTGACTGTTACGCTTGCTAAACTGACAGGCTGGTATTTCTCGGACAGACTATTGTCACATTCACTAAAAGTCATACAAATGATAGCCTTCTATTCCAAATTTAACGAACAAGTGTCAAACGATTGTTAAAACGCGCATGTAAGAAAACCGCCTTATTTAGCAGCCATATTGTTCAACAAATTCGTATGCACTGTTTAAAAGACAGGAGCTTTAGAATAATTTATCACCTGCAATAGACCAAAGGTCTTAGTCAGGGTTATGCTAATTTTACTTATATGAAACTGCTCCAGAACTCTTCAGAATAGCTTAACATGTAGTGAAAAGTATTCATGAGCAACATCGTTTGCTAAGAATACACTCGGTACTATAGTTGATATGCGCAAGAATCCCGGCCGCTTGTAGCACTGCTTGTATAGACGAGTTGAAACCGCTGCATATCTTTACGTAAGCAAAGAAATTTTTGGGATAAGTTGCAGCTGACCCAGCTAGGCCATCCCGTATTGGAGACTGGCAGCCTGAAGATGTTGCTGACTTTTATTGCTAAGCTCTCAATATTTGTCGTAGGTGCTATTTGATGGAATAGCTTGGTATGCTCGCCTTTGCTTAGGCCGTTTCTTGAGTAGTTAGTTCCCAACACAAGCTGTCTATAGATGCTGCGCCATTGCCGCACTTTCTTCATGATTGTGATAAGGAGAGCAGAAACCTCAGTGGTCAATGACTTAAACCTCGTCCAGGATGATTGGACAATATCAGTCTCGGAAATTTCGCAATGCACAACTACAGTCTTAATTAATATTACGTTAAATTCCGTCCACCAATATTTGGTCATACCACAGCAGTAGCTTGATGACACCTAGCTAGGACAAAATGAAAGTGTTTGCAGATTTGTTTGCTGGAACTTGGGGTGTGTAACGAATACTGTAATGAAGCGGCAAAAAGAGTTATCCCTGTAGTTGCGTTCAAAATTCCTCAGGTACACAAACCAGCTGTGTTGGCAAGCCTTCTCGATATCTTATGGCAGTTAGGTATTGGTAAAGGAACTGTTGAATTCCGATACAGACTTTGCTTCCATTACATGCGGCGCAAGTTTTTCCGTCTACCTACTACTCTCCGTTCGAAGCAGAGTTAGTGACTAGCTCGCTTTAAGGCCGATACTACAAACTTGTACCAGTGTTCTCGTGTGCTGCTTGCTGTGCGCATATTGAGCAGCAGCCTCAACACGGGGTAATCACCAAGATGCGATATCCGGTGCATCCTGATGCGGTCAACCCATACTCAACGATAAGACAGAGCGTGAAGTTTTAGCCTCATGTACCGGCTTCGTAGAGCACACGTCGTAAAGCATAGATTAGTCTAGTGACCACGTATGGTACCCGATTATTACTTTAGATCTCGATTTTGGTGAGAATAGTACGCAGGTGGGTCGCACTCTAACATTAGTAGTAGGTGCAAAACCAATAGGCGGTTGGCACTCACTTCGGACCAAGTGTAGAAGCTGGGCTTGACACCCAACGCACACAAAACCCGTTTGGGTAAAGCCAATTAGTGCTGTCTATCAACTTTAGGTCGCAGCGTGAGAGTGCCCTGAACGCTTTCACGAAAGGCGTGAGAAGCACCAGTTGACCGT